CTTGCGTTCATTGGTCTTCTCGGCTTGTTCGTGCTAGTTGCTTCGTACTGTTCTTTGCTTGTTAATTTTTTTTTATTTACTCTCTTGCGTGTTGTGCTTGCTTTCTGGTTAATATGGCTGTCAATCAATATGGCATGCTTCCATTTAACGGAAAGACATATTTTGATATCTGGAAACAGAAAATCAAATGCGTGTTGATCCAACAGAATGAAACTGCTAAGCGCAGTGACTGGTCTCTATTTAGACTCTGAGGATGCTGCTAAGCGCGATGAAATGAATGAAACTGCTTGTTCCTCTATATACCTGAACCTTGCTGATTCAGTACTCAGGAAGGTGGGTATTATAGATTCTGCAAAGGCTTTGTGGGACAAGTTAGATAAGACGTATACCGATACTTCTTTGCCTGGTAAATTGTTTTTGCTTGAGAAGTTCTTTAGATTTAGGCTTGACCTGTCTAAGGACATAGATGGGAACCTAGATGTGTTTAACAAGCTTATTCAGAACATTAATCAAGCTGGTGATAAACACATAGATGACTACACAGTACACACCCATAGTGTTACTTAATGCCATCCCTGACTCATACAATGACGTCAAATCTGCCATAAAGTATGGTAGAGATGATATCTCGTTGGATGTAGTTGTTAATGGATTAAGGAGTAAGGAGTTAGACCTTAGACACTCGAGGGGTAGTAACAGTCAGTTTGGGGACTCAGGTGAAGCGTTGTTTGTGAGGGGTAGGTCTAAGAGTAGATCTAGAAACCATAAGAAGGGCAACAACGATAAGAACAAAAACATAGACCCGGGGAAGAAGAGAGGTAAGTCTAAGAAGAGAGTGTGCTATAATTGTGGTAATTCTAGTCACTTCATTAAGGATTGTCCCCATCCGAAGAAGTCTGAACATGCTAATGTGGTAGATGATAATAACTTGCATGAAGAAGTTTTTATGATTTGTGATTCTGCCAATTCTGTGTTGAGTAGCATGACTGAAAATGAGTGGTTGATTGACTCTGGTTGTACTTATCATATGACACCTTTGAGATCCCTGTTTTCTTCTTATGATTTTTGCAATGATGGTTTTGTGTCTCTTGCTGATAATAAGAAATGCAAAATTCATGGGGTGGGTGATGTATGTTTGAAGTTTGATAATGGGACTGTGTTTACTATGAAAAATGTGAGGCATGTTCCTGATTTGCGTCATAACTTGTTTTCTGTTGCTGCTTTTGAGGGTAGTGGGTTAGAGGGTAAATGGGGTAATGGGTGCATGAAAGTTTTGAAAAATTCCCTTGTTTTGTTTAAGGCAAAAAAGGTGAATAACTTGTATGTGTGCCATGCTCAGCCTTTCTGTGATTCTGCTCATGTTGTTAGTTCTGATAAATCTGCTTTGTGGCATAATAGATTAGGATACATGAGTAATAGAGGTTTAGAGATTTTGCATAAATCTGGTTGTTTTGGTAAGGATTCTGTGTCCCCCATCCCCTTCTGTGAATCTTGTGTGTTAGGCAAGCAGCATAAGGTTACATTCCCCTCCTCCCCATATCCTAATCCCACTAAGTGTACCTCTGTGTTAGAGTATGTTCATGCTGATGTGTGGGGTCCTGCTAGTGTCTCTACCCACGGGGGTAAGAGATATTTTTTGTCCATCATTGATGATTTTTCTAGGAAGGTGTGGGTCCGTCTCCTTGAGTATAAGTCCGATGTCTTTGTGAAGTTTAGGGAGTGGAAAAACCTTGTAGAAAATCAAACTGGTAAGAAGGTCAAAACCCTTAGGACAGATAATGGTCTAGAGTTTTGCAATAAGGATATGGACCAACTGTGTGTTGATTGTGGGATTAGAAGGCACAAAACTGTGCCCTATACTCCCCAACAAAATGGGATAGCCGAGAGGATGAATAGGACTGTTCTAGATAAGGTTAGGAGTATGCTTGCTACCGCCGGTTCCTCCTAGATTTAAGATGTAGAAATCTTGTTTTATATTCGTATCTGGTAAACACAGTACTACCTCTTCACATCTTCTATTATTGGATATCTTTTCTCCATTGGCAATCTGCACCTTATACCCCGTAATGGTATTGAAAGGCAGCTCCAGTTCCTCCACCAGTTTCTGGGAAATGAAATTTTGTGTGGCACCACTATCAATCAATACTTCCACCTGTCTTTCTCCCAGATTCCACTTCAGCACTCCCTTAAATTTGAAGGCCCTCATAGTAGGTATCTCCTCCCTGCTCATAAGAGATAATTGCATAGATTTTGATTCCAACACCACTTCTTCTTCTGGGATTTCAAGTTCTTCACCGTCTGTTTCTTCATCAGCATCTGAGTCCTCTGCTAACATCAATTTATAATGCTTCAGCTTGCAGGTGTGCTCCTTGTTCCATTTCTCCCCACACTTAAAACACAACCCCTTTCTGCTTCTTTCCTGAAATTCTTCTTGAGATAATTGAGGCCTTACCTTCCTGATTCCTGAAGATTGCATGTCAGTGACCTTCTTCCCCATTCTCTCAAACCAGGAGTTGAAATTTCTGCTATCATTTGCACCTTTTCCTTGATTAGTGAATCCGAAGCTGCCATGCCATATCTTGCCTTAGAGCTTTCTCCCCAGTTCTGAGGTTTGTTAGGCACATGCCACACACTTTGTCGTGCGTGCACTCAAAATAAATCGATACTAACACTTATACGTAGTATAGGTGAAGTAGAGTTCGTATCCACAGGGAAAGGAATAACTTTCTTTTTATGTAAACAGTAAATAAAGGGGGGTTTTGATTGTTGAGTGATTAAATTAAATTAAACACGAAGATGAACGAGTTATATGGGATTAAATTCAAGAATAAAAGGGACTTGGTCTTGCTACTTTCCACTTGTTGATATATTTTAGTCGATCATTGTTATATCTATAACTTATCCCCTCTCGAATACTCAATCGCGGAGTATCTCCAATTCATCGAGGGTAGTTATTAACAACGACCGTTCATTAATAACCCTTACTATTTATCAAATATAGAACAACGCCGTATACCGATATAATAGTAGCATTTAACCTCTTTAACTCCTTGATGAAATCAATTAAGATTGATAACCTCAACACAACGGTTTTGGTTTAACCAACAAAATTAATCCCTCTTAAGTTTATTAACCACGACCGTGCACTAATAAACCGAAGTTACTTACTTGTGAAACCATCAACGTTTAACCATCGGTTCGTTGATCGTTTCTAGTAATAATCAATGCCGGAACGTTAACTAATCGTCACTTAGCCACCCTCCAACATTAATATAGAATGAGATTAAGGGAAGAATTAATAATCAAGAGGAGAAAGTAAGAAAATAACTCACAACTTTAATAATCAACAAGCTTCAAGAGCAAAACCAAGAAATGGAAGTTTAGCTCCTCATTTGGAGACTAAACATGCTAAAAGAAATATAGAGAAATGCTATTCTAAACTGAGCTTAAGAGTATAAAAGAATTGGTATCTAAAAGTGAAGGAAAGGAGGTGTATTTATAGGCTTTTTTGAGGTGCAGGTCGGGTACTCGATCGAGTATATACATATACTCGATCGAGTATGTGTAGAAACTCGAATTCGGTCCATACTCGATCGAGATTCGAGTAAATTTCATAGCTATACCCGATCGAGTATGTCGGTGTAACCGATCGGGTATAGACACTCGATCGTGGGAAAATCTTCTCCTGCATATATGTTCCTTTGTTTTCGGATCCGATCCGATTTGAAATTTCAACCAGATACCCGATCGAGTATAGGTGATACTCGACCGAGTATAGACCAAAATCAGGATTTCCCTTTTTGTCTTGTGATTTTGCACCTTCCTTTCACTTTTGGGGTTCACCAACTGTCCTTTGAGTGATGGTAGACTTGTTTGAGCTCAGAATAAACCTAATCTAAACATTTTACAAGATTTTAACAAATTAAACTATTACACCGAAAGTGTGTAATTTCCGAAATGCTAAACAACAAAAAGTAATTAAAAATGCAAACATAAACACGGAAATTACACGTGTATCAGCACATTTCCCTTGTCTTTCCGCCCCATCATGTCATCTTGTGTCTTCAAGTGTTATGCCTAATTCTTCCTTTCAATTTGTAAAGCCACATCCATAACCTCAGTCAATGATTTCAGGTTGTATAATTTCAGTTCAGCCTTAACCTCTTCCTTCAATCCTGTGATAAAAATCCCCTCAATATCTCCCTATCCACAGTCCTTTGAGGTGCTATAGTCAGTTCAAATTCATCCCTATAATCTCGGACTGCTCCAGTTTGCCTCAAACTCAACATAGGTCCATAAGGGTTTTGTAGAAGGTCATGTTGGAACCTACGAATAAGAGACTCCTTTAGTGATTCCCAGTTCTTCTCCTCGGTCTCATGTTCCCACCATTGGAACCAATTCAGAGCTCGGTCTTCCATGGCTACTACAGAAACTTCCAGCTTATCCTCCTCAGTAATATGATTCAATCTAAAGTACCTTTCCATCCTTACTAACCAGTTTTAAGCCCCATCCCCATTGAACAAGGGTAAATCAACCTTACGAGCCATCTATATATATATATATTTGTGTGTGTATAGAGGAATGTTCAGGTCCGAACATTCCCCGTCCGAGCACCGTCTGAACATGGACGTTTAGGCTACTTCCCGGTGGAATTTTTTGATGAAAATTTTTGAGCATGTTCCTCATCAAGTCTAGTTTGTCCATACCAAATCTAAGCTCAAAATTCGATCGGGAAGGCATTCAAATCATTTTTTGTAGTTGACTGCGTCAAAATATACATATAAAAACGTAGTCAACTTCAAAAAATGATTTGAATGCCTTCCCGATCGAATTTTGAGTTGAAATTTGGTATGGACAAACTAGACTTGATGAGGAACATGCTAAAAAACTTTTATAAAAAAAATCCACCGGGAAGGACCCCAAACGAGGATGTTCGGACGGAGGGTTCTGTCCGAACGTTCGGAAGTGATCATTCTTGTGTGTGTGTGTTAGTGTATATATATTGAAAAGAAGAGCTTTTATTGAAAAGAAAAGGATTACACGGAGATGTAGAAAGGAAAACAGACGACGATCTAGTCCCATGCTGTGACATCATTTAGGACGAACTGCAGTTTATGACGTACAAGTAGTACGTCCTGGTTGTTATTCTGGCATAATACGTACGTAATACTCTTATACTCAGCAATAATTAACCATACTTCCTATTAATGGGGATATAAGCAGACTGGTTTATGCCACAAATGCCTTTCCCGTTGGGCGTGTTTGCACCATCACCCCAACTAGTTCCCCAAGAATTCTTCACAATCCAATATGCATAAGAAATGGGATAATCATGACCGATAGTGAAGGTTTCGTAACCGACAATGGTCATGGCGTGGCTGAAATCAGGGGGGCCACAGTCGCCGTTAACGTCCCCCGAGAAAATTCCGGCCGTATAGTGCCTGAGCTGCCTCAAAAATTTGCCACCGAGTCGGATCCCGACGGAGACGGGCTGCCGGGAGACGGCCATCAGAAGAGCCCTATCACTCTGCTCAACGGAACGGTAGCCTGAAATGTTAGCTATTTTGACTACATCCTCCCGGCATTTTCCCTGAGAACCCATATACGGGTAGTCGGACGCCTTTGCAATACCGTCGTTCGAATATATAAAGAGGTAGGCGTAACTCAGGGATCCTCCACCGCATCCCTTGGATACCACGTCACAGTCTATGAGATGTTGTTCAGATAATGGAGTTAATGTTTCTGTAACCATTTGGTTCAAGGCTTCCATAGCAGCTACAGTTGAAAAAGCCCAACAGCAATCTGCGTGCCCCATTTATAAATTAAGGTAGATTCTATGGTACTCCAAATGTATCATACCTTTGTCCAAATGGACCAATAAGAATGATGCAGATAAATTATTTAAATCTAAATTAAAAAACATATAATGATTTGGACCAATCAAATGCATGGTAGGTACGGTACCCCATTTTTTAAATGAGTACCGGAGTTGTCACCATAAATTAATTGAGTGCCGTCAAACAAAAGAAAAAAGTTACTACCTCCTTCCCATTATGTTTGGGACAAAGGAGTGTGACACAATTTAAAAAAAAGTGGAATTGTGTGAATAAAGTAAGAATGTATTGTAACCACCCAAATATTATCAAATATGGTATGAGACAAACATAATGGGACAGACAAAAAAAGTAAAACGGGACAAAGTTAGGGAGACGGGTGGAGTAATTATTACTCCCTATGTCATTCTATAATTGTCTCATTTTTCATTTTTGATATCCCCCATTAACGTCTCATACAATATCTGGTAACATTTGTGTACCTCGTATTCATTCTTACTTTGTTTCCACTTAATCAACTCAATATCAACCACGTAATTCTACTTTTCTTAAAAATCGCACAACCTCCTTCCATCTCAATATTAGAGTATTAATATCATTTTTTAATGAACGCACATCAATTATGCTAAATAATATCGTTATTATCATCATGAGTACTCCCTCCGCATTTTAAGAATTGGTAATACGGCTTTGACACATTACGTAATAAAAATAAAAAAAAAATACATAATATATAAAAAATTAATACTCGGTATGACATATATATAAGGTAATAGTATGAATGAGAAGATAAAAATGTTTTTTATTAAAAATATCATAAAAGTACAAAATTTATAATTTCCACCAAAATAAACGGAGTAAAAATTAAAATGATTAATTATAGTTTACCATCATTGACTAGAAATAATTTACTCATATTTAGCTAGTCGACGCCTTGAAATTAAAATACCAACCACATTTTGGCCCTTGAGTCCTGACCGGGGTTATGGCACCAGAATCTCTCCAGTCTATTGATTCTGGAATTCTGACCAGACTCTCATTCCACAAGGAATCTGGCATTGGAAGTGTATTATTAGGGCGCCGTGGGATTGGCGGTGCCGCCTTCAAGGTGTCCATGTAGTTCTCCACGAACTCCTCATCAGTGAGATCAGAAAATTCATTGATACCAAGCTGGTACGTCTGATTATTCTCAGGTCTATTGAAAGACTCGATGTAATCCATGTTTTCTTTGAAGATGTTGAACCGTTTCAGCTTCTCAGACTCATCATCTACGTAGGAACGCCCGTAGCGAGCCATCCATTGCTCGAAATGCTCGGCTACGGATGATGTTTCTTGATCTGCGGCGATATGGCGGCCGGTGGTGGTTTGACATATAGCCCACACCACCAATAATAGAAAGTTGTATGCAAATATAAACTTATTGAAACTAAGGCTAAGAGCCATTATTTGCATGGTTTGATTTGATCGAGTGTTCGAGAAAAGAGAGTGATCGATGATCGAGAAACCATGTGTTGGATATTTATAGGCAGGGAATTAAACCTTAGAGCATCTCCAAGGATAAAATGTGCACGGTGCACATGTGGCATGAGAAATAACTACATAAATATTAGTAAATAAATTCTTTCTCTCCTTATTTGAATGATTTTATATAATTTTGGTAAATTTTTCTCCACAATGTCAAGGAGACCGTCTAGATGTTGACATTGTTGTTGACATTGCGGGGAAAAACTTACCAAAATTGTATAAAATCATTCAAATAAGAAGAAAGATTATTTATTTGCTAATATTTATGTGGCTACGATGCATGCCACATGTGCACCGTTCACGTTATAGCATTGAAGATGCTCTTAGTATACGTTATATACTGTCGTATTTGCCTGCGTAACATTATTATCCCTTGACCGATTGAGCTCTAGTCCACATACCACTTTATTAAAGATTAAAGATTTATCTTACCTGCTAATCCGCCAGGTTTATTCTTTTCTCTTTTGAAAATAAGTCCGCGTGGTTTATTAAAGGTACTCCGTATTTTCTAGGAAAAATGGACAAAAACAATCTCACATTTCGCTGGTCTTCTTATAATAATCTCACCTTTAGATAATTGCAGAATAATCTCACATTTGCACCCCATCTTCTTTCATTGGACCCTGACCACGTTGTTTACTCTTTTTTTGAAAATCATATAAATAATCTCACCTTTCACTTTTCTATTATATCTTTATAAATGTGAGACTATTTATATAAGATTTTCAAATAAAGGTAAAAAACTTGGTCAGGGTCTAATCAAAGAAGATGAGGTGCAAAGGTGGGGGATTATTTTGGAATTATGTAAAGGTAGGATTATTATGAGAAGACCAATGGAAGGTGAGATTATTTTTGTCAATTTTTCCTATTTTCTATGGTACGTTAAAAAAAGTATTTTAAATTGTGTTTGCACCCCATCTTGTTTTCTAAATTAGATTTTGCACCTCATTTTAAAAAAGCTTTGTATTTGCGCCTCAACCCTATATGAAAAGACAAAAGTGTTCATCCATTAACAATTCTATTGACCTTCAACATATTCTTAATCGAGAGCACTTTTCTCTTCTCATACAAGATTGGGGTGCAAATATGAAGTTTTTCGAAATCGAAGTGCAAAGTCCAATTTGGACAATAAAATGAGGTGCAAATTCAAATTCTCCCTTTTAATTTCTATGGTACCTTTGATATATTATCATCTCTTTCTTTTTAATTGCAACACATAAAATTTTAAATTATTTACATATTCTACTAATCTACTTTGACTACATTTTATTTATTAATATACGAAAATTCTATTTTCTGAAAAATATTATTGAATTCGGCTCATTACAGATTTTCATAATTTGATTTTTAATTTTTTTTTACTAATAGACAAATAAATATATTGACAGTCAAAGTTGTGCATTATATTGGCAAGTCTGCAAAATGTTGCAACTAAAAAAGAATGAAAGAAGTGTATTTGAGGTATATTTAGTACCGTGCTTATGTGGGTATTTGAAATATAGACATGTGGATGCATTAAAATTAGTGATATTATGACATTGAATTTTATTTAAGTAATTCAAATTTGCTTTTTGGTCTTTGGAGGATGGCAGAAGAATAGACGGAGCATTCAAACAGATGGAGGTTTGACGATGCTTTGTTTCCTTCTCTCCCTAGCGAGTAGCTGCGCTAGGCGAGTAGCTAGAGCTATTGACCTGCTTTATGTGAGTTGGGTCGAACTAATCCATGTAGTTACAGACCATAATTTCAACAACCCTAACCTAATCCACGAGCCCATCTAATTAATCTGTGTGTAAAATGGGTTGCGGGCCAATGTAAACGAAAACACATGACAAAAGATTCTTTAAATGTAATTACCCCAGAGTATATATTTATATTAGTAAGTAGTAATAAGAGAAATATAAGAAATCAAAATACTAAGAACTCAATACTTTTTAAGTTCAATTAAAAAATATTAAATATTAGTTATACGAGAATTTGAAAACTATAAGAGGGTATGTAACAAAAATATTCATTGTATGAAAGTAAAGATCTATTTAAACCTTTTGATTGATTATTTGTAAATCATGACTACTAGTTGCTAAATATTCAATATTGTATCAAACTTCACATAAAATATATGTTGAAATAATATTTCTTATAGAAATAATTATTTTGAAATGATTGTAATTTTTTTAATTGTAACTACAATAATTTCGATAATAACAGAACAATATTGAAGATAATAAAAGTAAAAATTATATGTTTGCATATTGGCCCGTGGGCCAACCCGCAACCCGTTGGGCCAACCCACTTAAGCCTCCAATCCACATGAGATTTACCCGCGAAACTCATAAACTAAATGGGTCAGAAATTTGCAACCCTAACCCACCAATAAATGAGTTTAAACAGGCAACCCTGCAGATTTCAGCCTATTTTGACAGCTCTACGAGTAGCAACCACAGAGGCACAAACTCACAAAGTATAGGAGTTGGCGGCTCTTTTCTTCCTCGCGACCATAGTAGGCGGTGGCGGCTCTTCTCTCCCTCACCACCAAGACAAGAGACACCTCCAAGGTTGTTAAAAATAATTCAACCTTTGCACCTCATCTTCATTCACTGGTCCCTGACTGGTTGATCATGACCTACCATTCCAAGTTATTTTCTTATTTTGAAAACCATTATACCATAAATCTCACCTTTCACAAAGATAATATTTTGCAAAGATAAGAAAATAACTTGGAATAGCAGGTCATCAACCGGTCAGGGACCAGTGAATGAAGATGAGGTGCAAAGGTTGGATTATTCATGAATAATCAAAAGGTGGGACTATTGTAAGAAGACCGCTAAAATGTTGGATTATTAGTTTCCATTTTCCCTTAGTTAAAATAATGGATCAAAGTTTATCATCTTTGACTGAAAAAGTTAAAGTTGGCTAAATAAAAAGGGATGGAGGTAGTATGATTCTTTTGATTCGATTTTGTTCACAATTTCATAAAACTTAGTTTTACGCTTCCAACTCTTACTATCAAACGGCATTCTCAAGTTATATAATTGATAGCACAATTAAATTACCTAGCTAGTTAGCCATGTTAACTACATATCTTGGAGAAGCTAATAAGGATGTTTTCTTTTGGATTGAAATTTGCTAGTCTGGTCTGGTCTGGTAAACGTCTAGTCTCTGTGTATTTTTATAACTACGGAAGTCTAGTCTGGTCTGGTGTAGTCTGATTAGGTCTGGTTTGGTCTGGGACTGAAAACACTTTGAAAGAAAACATCATAATTTAGGGTGTTGTTTGGTACATATCATGTCACATTACCTTGGTAAGCTAGTGTAAAAAAGATGGTGTGAGATTGACATTGTTTGATTCTGATTTTCATATTACCAACATATTATGATATTACGTCCACATAGAATAATGATGTAAAATGGAATGACAGACGCAGGTTTAAAGCAGAGTATTATTTGCAAAACAGATTAGGAAGGATTCTTTACTTCTACACTTCTACAGGACTTATATCTTTAATGAACTTTACATGATTTCTATTAAATGTATTTATGTATAAAAAAACTTAAGTGTATTTATTTTATTAAATGTATTTATGTAATTCTATTAAATAGTGATGCATTTATCTAGAATATTCTATGTAGAAAAGGCTAAAGATGTCGATTTCAGATCAATTAAGTGTAGGAATCGCATCCACGTCGACTCTAGTATAAATCTTATCATCATCCAGATTATCCAAATCAATAACAGGCAGTGGATATTTTAATGTTAGTGGTTCATGTATAACAATTTCAGCAGATCCGAAATCTAAGTTGTTACTTGCTCTCTGACCAACTGAACATACAATTGATTTTTTAGGGTCAAGTTGATCTTTTACATAGAAGACTTGTTTAGCATGAGAAGCCAAAATAAAACAGTCATTTTTATGACCAATTTTATTCAGATCGACTACCGTGAAGCCCAATTTATCTTTCTTTATATGTCTACTATCAACCCAATCACACTTGAATGCCACCCTCTTGGTCATGAGATAGTTCAAAACCCAAATTTCATCTAGAACGCCATAGAAGCTGCTGTCTTTAGAACTTGAGACTTCAATTGTGTCTGCTACAAGGGTAACACCACTGTTTTAGGTAACACGAATTGAGTCTTTGTCCTTCGTGGCGAAATTGTAGCCATTGACAATATACCCGGCATATAACGTCACACTTGTGTTTGGTTTTTTAGCTAAACACCTCACTGTTTCGTCTACAATAACACCCTTGGCAACTTCACCTCTCACCTAGAACAACACATTAGTAGTTATTAATATGTAATTATGAGAATCAATAGTTTTAATGCACGATATTAGTTAAATTTAATTTAGTTAGAACTACCTTGTCTTCAAACCACTCAGTAAATGTATGATAATGTTCTGTTTCACAACAGCCAACAAACTTCGATTGTAGGTGCAACATATGCTCCCTAACATTTAATTCAGGCAATTTATTAAAAATTCCACTATTAAAAAGCATGGGTGGTATTCAAAATGTCTAACTTTAGACTTACTATATGTAGGGCTGAACTTGTGGGGTATTAAATAAAACAGTGCGATGAGCTTGCTCCAACAATGACAAATCAGCCACCTTGATATCTCCCCTTCCCACAGGCCTTTGAATTGAAACACCATCATCATCATCATCGTCATTATTAGGTAATCCAATAGCTTTATGATTTGACAGGTATTCGGCACAAAAGTCAAGTGTTTCCTCTGCGGCATAAGACTCGGCTATGCATCCTTCAGGATGATAATGATTACGAACATATCCTTTCAACACTTTCATGCTTCTCTCAAAAGGATACATCCAACACAAGTAAGGCAGCCCACATAAACGTATTTGAGCAATGAGATGGACTGTCAAGTGAAGCATTATATCAAAAAAAGATGGTAAGAAGTATTGCTCAGGCCAGCACAATGTGACCCGATAGTCAGCCT